TTTATATAGGACATCTTATCTTTCTTTCATTACCCAGGCTGTGGCTTCTTTTCTATTCCCATGAAATCCATGTACACACTTTAGAAGCCCTCCTGAACAAGCTTCGCTTCTAAGTTTCACAGAGCCCTTAGCACAATTTGAATACGAAAGAGATACTGAATAAAAAGCTTTAATCTCTTGTCTGTTACACTGCTTTCTTGCCGCTCTTCATCTCCTCCTCTTCCAAGGGCTTTTCTGTGTGAGTAAACTGCACACTTTTCTTTTTTTAAGTGAAGTGTAATGTTCAAGAAGATGCATTCGGGAGCCTGAGACCCGGGAAGCAAGCTCCTGTAAATCTCCTCTGTCAAAACGCAGCTACATTGGTGCTGCCTCGCCTTCTGTGGAAGGCTTTTGCAGGTAAAAGATCAGTAAAAGAGCTCTCCCTGAACAAAAATCATTCAATCAGCAGAATGCACAGAGAGTATCAAATGTGCCCTCCACCTCAAATACTGTGGGGCTCTCTCCTCCGATACCTCTTCCCCTCCGTGAGCTGGAGCTGGTTGAAAGGGTTTTTCTGTTCTCTGGTCTCTTGTCAATTTGAATGCCAGGAAATGAGCCCCCTTTGTAAGATTAATTAATAGCAGGAGCGGATCGGCCGAGCCCAATCGCCACGCCACGGAGCTGTAATTGCTACTTTGTGGAAAGGAAAGAAGAAGAAAAAAAAAAAAAGTTTGGGTTGCCGTTTAAGAAGAGGGTTTAAGGAGAGTTCTTTGAACTGGAGGTCTCAGTGCACTGGATTAAGGCAAGAAGCAAGGAGGCCTTTGAAGTTTGCTAAGAGGTTTTGGAAGGGAAAAAAGTTGGGTGGCAAATGGGGGTTGGCAACATCAAAAGCGCTCTCACCGCTCCTCACCTGCTTGGCTTGGAAGGGTCTGCAGGCTGCAGAGCAGCAGTGCAGGTCCAGCAGCCAGCTGGGGTGGCGGTGGGTGGCTGCTTCCTTGGGCTGCTGACATACAGCCACACACCCCTGCACCGCTGCTGCCAGGAGCCGGCCTCCTGGTTTAGAGGTGCTGGTTCTCAGAATCTGCTCTCAGCAGCACAGGCAGGGTGCACACACACCGGGCAGAAATGCCTCCGGTGCATTTCTCTCCTTCTTCTCGCCACTCTTCCTTCATGCATCTTCAAAGATGTTTTAAAAAGTTTCCTCTGCTTGTCACTTAACAATCCTGTATGGATAAGAGGGGGAAAGGGGTGAGATTCTTACAGAAAATACATCCGTCCCCTGCCTGGAAATAAGAAATTAGCAGATGCCATTCCTTCTCAACAGGGGCAATATCGCCCCCAAGGGGGTGAAACTGATTCTTGGGGGTAGAGGGCGGATGTGAAAAATCCTAGATCTTAGGACCATTTATGGCTCTCTAAAGAATTAGAGTACAGCGAGGGTGCACTGTCATAGAAAAGAAAATTAGAAAAAAAAAAAAACAACCTACTGACAAAGGTTCCTTAGGGGTTGTTGTAACAAAAATACAGTAAATAAACTCAGGATCACTGGTGAATGCAGATTTTTAAAGCATAGCAAGAATTTCTTGCTATTTCATATGAATTGGCCAGAAGTTAACTGGAGCATATGCAT